TTAAACCCAATAAGGGAAAATACAAAGTATCCCAAGGGCCTACCTAGGTTAGTATAAAGGACATCCCAAGGTTGATTTTTTCAGCCGATTGATGGGTTTAAGCGCCGAAGTTGTGGTTCCGAGGCCAGGGCCCCAGTCCTGGTATCGGCCTCTCAAGGACCATTGGAGCAAAACTCTACACTTGTTTTTTCCATTGCAGGCCTGAACATATGTGCAGATTATACAAACCTCTATATAGGTACATTTTACCAGAAAGCTCAAGAGCTAAACAAAACAACATGTCTATGTATATACACATATATTTGAGTATTTATTCGGTTTACTAAGTTTGCTTCTTATCCATAATGCACATATATATATATATATATATAGTATAGGTATGCTCATTACACCGCTAACCCCCCTTCTCCCCCCCTTCCCGGCGCAAGGTTTAGGGTTTAGCGTTTAGGGTCTGGGGTTTAGGGTTCAGGGTTTAGGATCTGGGGGTTAGGGTTTCGGGCTTAGGGGGCTGCAGGACCCGGTCTGCTGTTAAGGGTGGCCAAGTCGCCCTTTCAACCCTGCAGCCTAAAGGGTAAAATCTTCTAAACCCGAGATGCTATGAACCCTTAGCGCTAAACCCTCTACACCCTAAACCCCAAACCCCAAACCCTAAACCCTCAACCCCAAACCCCAAACCCCAAACCCGAAACCCCAACAAAACTAGCCCAGGAGCCTCCCCGGAGAGGGTGGAAGTCAGCACAGCGAGCAGTTGGGAACGCTGTTCCGTCAAGTCGCCAACCCCATCAGCAACCCGCCTCTGCAGGGGGCTATACTTAGGGTCTCAGGGTTTAGGGCTACATTAGGGCTTACGGGATTGTAGGGTATTTGGGTTTGGGTGTTCAGGATTATAAGCTTTTGAGGACGTCTTTTGGTGCGCGGGAAGTGGAGACTCTTGCTTTCGTTAAGGCTTGAGGCTTGAGGTCTTAGGGTTTAGGGCTCAGGGCTTCGGGTTCAGCACGCGCAAGTGCATGCCACGCTTCCGCATCTCTGCCCCCCTAAACCTTATAAACCCTAAACCCTCAACCCTCAACCCTAAACCCTACACCTAAGCCCTAAACGCCAAGCCCTCAGCCCCCATAAACCCTTGGCCCCGAAACCACCAACGCTATGCCTCAAAGCCCCTAAACCCCATAAACCCTGCGTAATCAGAGTCTCTAGCTCTGGCAACGATTGGCTTCTGACCCTAAACCCCTCAGTGAAAATCTTAAGCAATCCTTCCCACAACCCTCAAGGCCCTTGCGGGTTTCAGGGTTTAAGGTTTAGGGTTGTTGGTCGCCTCCACCAGTCGTCCTTGAAGAGCGTCACCACGCTCCCGATCACAGCGTCAACGCGGCTATTTTTGATCACCTCAGTCTTGCGTGTCGGGTAGCTGAGGGACTTGGCGTCCCATTCGAGCTTAGGTAAACCGATGCCCCCGGATTCAGAAGAGAAGGCGCAACTTCAAGAGGTGTCGGAAAATGGGTTGCCTAGGCTCGTTAGTATCGCACCGCGTGTGGCTTCATAGGATCGATTCCAGAGAAATCCAGAGGCTCCATAGCCTCTAGTTGAACAGAGATGCAGCGTTTCGGAGTGGAGGCTTCGATGGGCTTAGCCTAAACCCTAAACCCTAAACCCTAAACCCTAAACCCTAAACCCTAAACCCTAAACCCTAAACCCTAAACCCTAAACCCTAGACCCTAAACCCTAAACCCTAAACCCTAAACCCTAGAACGGACGAGACCTGCCCGAAGTCAAAACTGGCAAGTGCATGCCTCGCGACCGCGTGGTACAGGTCGAACCGCGCCGGCCAGGGAAAGGCTCGCAGCACGCTGCTTTGCACTCGGAAGATGGCTCCCCTGGCCTTTTTGAAAGGGTTTAGGGTTTAGGGTTTAGGGTTTAGGGTTGAGGGTTTAGGGTTGAGGGTTTAGGGTTGAGGGTTTAGGGTTTAGGGTTCTTATAACCTCAAGTAATCTAAGCGCTCATAAGTCCTCTAAGCAGGTTAGAGGTAGAAAGGCGGTAGGGCTTGGCCTGCCTGACGTGAGGGAGGGGGGAAAGGGGGACGGGGGCTGGATGATATGCTAAACCCTGAAACCCTGCACCCTATACCCTAAACCCTAAACCCTAAACCCTAAACCCCTTCCCAAGGCTTCTTCGGGAAGGCAACGCTACTAAAGGGCAGCTAGGGATCTTACGTGGGCGGAACCTCAGACGGGACCCAGGCCCTAAAGAAAGGGGTTTAGGGTTTAGGGTTTAGGGTTTAGGGTTTAGGGTTTAGGGTTTAGAGTTTAGGGCCTAGGGCTTGGGGTTTCGGGTTTAGGGTTTCGGGTTTAGGGTTCAGAGCTGGGCTCCTACGCTCTGCCTCCTGCTCGATGTTCGGGCATTGGGTCAGGCTTTCCAGGAGCCTCTGGAAGGTCCTCTCCTGCGGCTCAGGCTTCAGGGTTTAGGGTTCAGGGTTCTGGGTTTAGCGTTTCGAGTTTAGGGT